GGCGTGCCTTGCAAAATCTTAGCACGCGGGAATAATCCGGCGGAGGCAGCGGCCGGTCCGACTCAGAAATGTCTCAGCGTGATGAGTTGGGCCGCCGGAGCGGTGGCAGAAGTGCCGTTGCTTCATCTCGCGAGATGCCGTCGAACCATCGTGCCCGTCCAATGACTCAAAAAGAAACCCTTGAGTCCCTAAACCCCAAACGCAATAATAATAATAACAATAATAACAATAATAATAACAATAATGATGACAATAATAATAACAATACTAATAATAACAATAATAATAATAAGACTCAAAAAGAGACCCTTGAGTCTGTGCCGCTGTGCTGTGTAGCCGACCCGACCGCAGTGAGAGGGTGCCGTTCAATATGAAATTCTATTGTCACATAGCGCAGTACCATGCACTATAAGATAGTATAACAGGCTGTGATATGTTATGTTAAAGTAGGTTCTAGTCTCGTACAGAAAAGATAGTACAGTCCAGTTTAACATAGTACAACATTGTATTGCCAGAGTAGAACATAGTATAGTACAGTATAGCATAGTACAGTACAGCACAATATACCACAGTAGAATACAGCACATAACAGTCGGGTATCGTATAGCACAGAAAATTCTAGAACGTATTATCATATACTACAACATTGTACTAGCAGGGTATAACGTAGTATAGTACAGTACTAGTATGGCATCGTATAGTAAAGTACATTACAACATGATAGAAGATAGCGTAGCTCAGTGTAAAATGGTATATTGTTGTATTAAGTCCGTTCAATACGATTCAGCCTGCAGTACTATTTAGGCAATATAGTACGAGAGACTACATACTTGACACACTTAGTATAACATGGCATAATGCAGTCTAGAATAGTCTGATGCGGTACAACACAGCATCAACAAGCAACTTTATGCTGAGGTCTCTATTCTGTGGCCTCGGCGCGTCCGGCCCGAGGCAGACCGTTGGGAGTGAGGATATGGGTTTTGGGTTTAGGGGTTTAGGGTTTAGGGTTTGGGGTTGATGCAGCCCCGGATTCTCCAACACACTCACAACCTTAAATCCTCAAGCCTGTAACCCTTAACACCCGTAAACCAGAGCTGCTTGGGGATCTGAGGGGAGGAGGAGTTCAACAAGCAGCCTTAAACCTTAAATCCGAAGTTATTATAATCATCGTATACTGGGCCCCCAAACCCCCGGGGCTTTCATAATTACCTATACTATTTTTGGGGACCCTCAACCCCGAAGTGCCAGGTTCTGGAGCTCTGCCGCCCGTGCCCCAGCGAGCCCGGCATCGGAGCCCTCCCTCCCGATCTGGAGCATAGAAACCCCAAACCCCAGATCCTAAACCAGGCAGAGACAGGATTTGCAGACGGAAAAAGATGCTTAGAAAAAAAATAAAAAAAAGACCCTAAACCAGTGTCTGTAACGATTCTCCGACGAAAAGGAGCTGGGCTTTCATGAGAGTTGATAGAATACTATACCTACAAATTCCTGTTCCAACCATGAAGACTTCTGTTTTGTTGGTGCTCTGTTGTCTTTATCATCTTCGGTTCTTTGGTCCGAAATTCACTTCCCAATCTCCGATCTTTAACTGGCACTTGTGTGTGTTTTTCTGGTCTGAGTCCTGCTTTTACGGTTTAGTAGAGTCGCTTAGGGTTCAGGGCTTTAGAGTTAAGGGGTTTTGGGTTTAGGGGCTACTACTTCTAGTTCTTTCTGTTCCTTTTCTGCAGCCTGCTATCTCCTAAACCCTGAACGTCGTGGTGCCTCAGGCGATTGCGTGAACTTTCACCCGTCGCTGCTGCCCAAGAACCGCGGCTCGCTAACTCAGCTGCCTGGCTTGATCCCAGACCCTAAACCCCAAGCCGTATGTCATGCGGAGAAAGAGCTATTGCATGTAAAAAAGATCCCAAGCCTTCCAAACCCTAAGCCGCAAGCCCTGAAGACCCTAAACTCTAAACCCTCTAAGCCCTATGCCCTCAACCCTCTAAGCCCTCAGTAATGAAGCCTCTAAGCCTTAAGCCCAATAGAGCCCCAAACCATTGACCAAAATGGAACCCCAAACCCCTACTTAGGAAAGCTGAGCAGGTGAGATAGGTTGAGTTCAGGACCTCTATTTGGGGTTTACGGTTTTGGGTTAAGGCATTTCATGGTTTGCGGGGTTTAGGGTTTGGGGATTTAGGGTTTAGTTGCCTTTGAGGCTCACTAGCAGGGCTTTGCCAAGTCGAATCTCCACATAATTGCTCAAAACCCAAAGTCGACACTAGGAATCCGAAATCTAGCTCTGCAGGCATTCCCATACAAATGCCCCTACCTGCCGTAGATTCGCGTGGGAATGCTTGGAACAATTCGCATTGCATGTTCTCCCGACTTCAATGCCTGGGGCTGCGGAGGAAGCGCAAAGCTCAGAGTACCCCTCCAGAGGAGTTTCCAAGGCCCTCATGCAAGGGTGCTCTGAAGAAACTGGTCGGGCCTGTGTGTGGCGGATGTTTGTAACAACCATAGGACCTAACACGAGCCTGGGGTCGTGAAACCGCTCCAAGTCGTATGCAAAGATTGGTCTGCCGAGGTTCTGGAGCATTTTCGAAGGTGACGCGGTCGCCGCCGCCGGCCTGCTTTTGCTGACCGGGGTCTGGGACTTCGCGAATGTTGATTCCACCCAGGGCCAGTTTGCGGTTGCGAAGCAAAGACCTTGCAGACGACTTTCGGCACAGTCCTGTAGGTGTCCTGCCATTTTCAAGCAGCGCTAGATCTCCGAGCTCTGAATTCTAGGGAGAGCGTCCATCCTATGCGGAAGCGATACACATTTCCCGAAGCCTTTGCCTCTTTGGTGGCCAGTCTGGTGTGACATGCCACCACATGGTCGAGGACCTGCCAAGTTTTGGGATCATCCCAAAGACCTTAAATACACCCATTACGCCGTTACTGTAGTTGTGGGCTGTGGGCTTCACCTGAAGGAAGCGTTTATGATTTTTGGAGTAGGGCTGAGTAGGGGCATCCTGTATCATGGGAGTTCGGAATGTCTGAAAGATGCCACAAAAGATGAACGATTGTCAAAGCATTTGGATGGAAATCGTGCGGAACCCGTGCTTGAGGGTGTGGCTAGTGGCGACTGAAGGAGGATGATTCCGCATCGGTACTGAGTTGTTGACTGATTCATTCTGACAGGTTTTGATTTGCCGCCAGCCTTTGAGGTGAGGGAGGGCGGTCAGGCTGGGACTAGCGAGGCTCACATGCCTCTAGTTGACGAGGGGTTTCAGCCACTACTGAGATATTGAGGCGAATGCAATAACGATCATAATTCGTAACAATAGCAATAATGCCAATATCACTAATAATAATAAGTAGCAGTAACGAAAAATTAAGAACAGCTTGCCACCTTGAGGAGTTCGATGCTGGTCGAATCCTTTGCCGCGAGCCTGTCCGGATCGCAGCAGCCCCCTGGCGAGAAGAGTCGAGAAGAGGAGCGTAGGTCTGGAGATGCGAAGTTGCCCGAAACCCAAGAGCCTAGGCCCTACCTTAATCGTGAATAGCCTACCTTTTTAGGGCTCCTTGTTATGATTCCCTTAAATAAGTCCTCAACAAGGTAGGTTATTCATGTTTAAGGCACACTTTAGGGAACTCTGAACCCAGAGCCCTGGCCATTGCCGCTCGGCTTTCTTTGCTGTACTTTACTGCCGTTCCTCAGCTGAGGACGAGACGGCTCTGTCGCTGAACCACAAGATCGCCCTGGCTGTGGAGAAGCTAGCCTTGCACCCTAAACCCTAAAACGCAGACTGCACCGGAGGTGCCTTCGTGATTTTCGATTGGGTCAAGGCACATTTAAGTGTTGTGGTATCGTAGATACAAGTATAGATGTAGGTAGAGATACAGATACACCTTCCGATATTCCGATATTTGGTCCTTCAAAGGGTATTATTATCTTCTCCTGCAGGGGCTTCCTCAAAGCTCCAAGTCTGAGGACTTCAACGGGTTTTGGGGGTTTTGGGGGTTTTGGGGGTTTTGGGGGTTTTGGGGGTTTTGGGGGTTTTGGGGGTTTTGGGGGTTTTGGGGGTTTTGGGGGTTTTGGGGTTTGGGGGTTTTGGGGGTTTTGGGGGTTTTGGGGGTTTTGGGGGTTTTGGGGGTTTTTTGGGGGTTTTGGGGTTTTTGGGGGTTTTGGGGGTTTGGGGGTTTTGGGGGTTTGGGGTTGGGGGTTTGGGGGTTTTGGGGGTTTTGGGGGGTTTTGGGGGGTTTGGGGGGTTTTGGAGGGTTTTTTGGGGGTTTTGGGGGGTTTGGGGGTTGGGGTTTTGGGGGGTTTTGGGGGTTTTGGGGGTTGGGGGCTTGGGGGGTTTGGGGGGGTTTTGGGGGTTTGGGGTTTTGGGGGTTTGGGGGTTTGGGGGTTTTGGGGGTTTTGGGGGTTTTGGGGGTTTTGGGGGTTTTGGGGGTTTTGGGGGTTTGGGGGGTTTTGGGGGTTTGGGGGGTTTGGGGGGTTTTGGGGGTTTTGGGGGTTTTGGGGGGTTTTGGGGGGTTTTGCGGGGTTTTGGGGGGTTTTGGGGGGTTTTGGAGGGTTTTGGAGGGTTTTGGGGGGTTTTGGCAACGGCCGCGTGACAGTGCAAAATCGTAAAGTGGCTCTGTTATTGGCCGAGGACATGCTTTGTGAACGTGCTGAGCGTCTTCCTGAAAGAAGGACCCGGGATCCATTGCCCTAAACCGTCAACCCTAAACCCAAGGCCCCAAACCCTAAACCCTGAACCCCAAACCCTAGGCCCATTGAAAAAACCCTAGGCCCTAAACCCTACGCTAAACCCTACTGTCCTGGACTTCTCCAAAATACCTGAGATCAGCAGCTCTCCAGATTTTTGAATGCTGCCTCTGTGTTACCAGACGGTAATAACTGCTACTACTTCTACAACTACTGCTGCTACTAGTGCTCGTACTAGTACTAGTACTAGTGCTAGTGCTAGTGCTAGTGCTAGTGCTACTGCTACTGCTACTGCTACTACTACTACTACTACTACTACGACTACTACCAGCACGACACCTAGGTAAGACAGCCCCAAACCCCAAATAAAAACCCCGAAGCCCCGCGCTTGCTGCAAGGGCAGCTGAAGGAAGGCGAGAGCTGGGACGTGGCGCCTCGGTCGGCATTCATCGTCGGGGCCGTCTTTCTCAGAATAGGGTTCCTGTAAAGGGGTCTATAAGGGTTTTACTATAAGGGATCTATAAGGGTAATGTAATATAGGGGCCTTAATAACTAGAACAGGTGGTTTTGGGGGCATATTCTACTATTTTTGTAATAGGGAACCCCTAGAACCCTAGTCTAAATATTAAGGCCCCTACTTTAATGTTTCCTCATCTGTTATTCATGGGTAGTCAGTGTCTAAGACTGCGATTACGTCTACGGCTGCCGCTACGATAGTGGTATGTAGTGGTAGTGGTGACTGTTCTTGTTGCTCTAGTTCTCCTGCTCCTTCTGAGTATCAGAAAGCTCCGATCATTCTGCTTCTCGCCAGTAGTGCTGCCATTGGCGATATCATTACCAGTACGTTCATGATCATTGACCTTAGTAGTATGATGACTCCCTGCGTGACTATCGTCATTGGTCATGACATGTTCTTTAAGCCTCATGTCTGGATGGGTGCCGTTAGTTAGTCATTCTAGTCACTGCGAAGTGCAGTGGTTCGTTCTGCGCGATACTGTTGTCAAAAATCACTTTCGCTGGTTGTGCGATGCTTCAGTTGCTGAGATGTTCAGGCTTCCTAATCTTTCGGCAGTGAATTCATTGTCATGGTGCTGATGCTGCAGTTGCTGACACCACTATACAGATTCTAAGGCCATCGGTTCCGAACGTCTTGACAGGATTCAGGCCCAGGCTGTCACTAGACGAGACATGCACAGTTCTGCAGCCGTACTGAACCCATCCCCAGCAATCCTTCTGGGAACCTTTATAGCAGCCCTTGAATTCAGATCCTCTGTAGTAAGCCCGTAAGCTATCTGGGGCCCAGGAACAGTTCCCGTACCACTACAAGCAAATCCCAAACGACGGTGTGATTGATCCGGACTGGCCCGACGACAAGGCCTCCAGGGCTCCGAGCAATCTCTGGGAGTCTCCGAAAATAGGATTTCCTGATCTAGTACCCTGAATAGTAGGATCCTTTCTCTATAAGAACCCCAAAATCAGGTACCCCTACTTTTCGGAAACCCCCAAACCCTAAACCCTTTATAGAACCCTTATAGATCCCTTTAAGGAACATTCAAAGGATACCTTTAAAGGTACCCCGAATTGTCGGAAACCCCCATCTTGCTTTTGCGCCTTGGAAGACAGACGTCTCTTCCGGAAGTCCTCTTGCAGCCCAGTTTCGGCTCAGGGCTCCCCGGCCCTTTTGTGGCCATGAGCTCCGAGATCTGCGAGATGCTGGTTTAGGGTTTAGGGTTTAGGGTTTAGGGTTTAGGTTTTAGGGTTTAGGGTTTAGGGTTTAGGGTTTAGGGTTTAGGGTTTAGGTTTTAGGGTTTAGGGTTTAGGGTTTAGGGTTTAGGGTTTAGGGTTTAGGGTTTAGGGTTTAGGGTTTAGGGTTTAGGGTTTAGGGTTTAGGTTTTAGGGTATGGGCTCCGAGATCTGCGAGATGCTGCATATCTGGAAGGCCTCGGGAGAGGAGTTGGCTGCGGTGAAGCTGGAGGATTTCCGGGAGGTCCGAGACTTGAAGAGACACCTGCAGGGCCTCTGCGGGCTGCCGCGATTCAGGCAGAGGCTCGTGTCAAAGAGTCTGGGGATCCTCAGCTCCTTTTAAGAAGAAGCTTAATGTAAGATACCCTATTAAGTTAATGTAAGACCACTATTCTCGTAACCTAAATTATCTAAGTTTAATGTAGGATACCAGAATAAACATACCATGTCATTTATTGCGGATCCCGATGATCGCACCCTAAATTACATGAATTTCTTGAAAGAACCCAGGATCCTCGAAGATGACGACACCCTGGATTCGCCGATGGACCTGCAGCAGCTTGACTTCATGACATCGATGAGGGTGGCGGTGGTCTGGTTATTTCTGTTGCAGGCATCGTAGGAGGAGTGGCAGGTATAACTTACTTGTAGTGTAAATGAGGCAGGGAGAATCGTAGGAAGGTTCGCGATGCAAGTGACGCTGTAGGAGCTGACAAGCTTCAGAAGTTTCTGAAACCCCGGACTAGTCCGAGCATCGACATCCCATTCCTACCGGTGTATGGGCGGCAGACATGGGTGGTTGTCCATGTTATGGTCCCTTTTTGGGTCCCTATTATAATACGGCACCTAGTATTTGGGCTACCCCAAAAGGGGCCATAATTTTGACAACTACCCGCATGAGGCTGGTGTTGCTCGACTTCGCCAGCGCAACGCAGGAGCAGGTGGACACCGTCATATCTGCAGCCAAAGCTGGCCACGTGACTCTTGGTCTGAAATCCGTCCTCTAGGGACCTAAACAATGACCACTACTATTATGGGGGCTCGTTGTTATAGTTATAGCATAATGGGCCCCGACACCCTATTCTAACTACTTAGGCCCGTATAGTACGTTTTGTCTCTTTGCGGCTGCAAAGAAAGCGGGTATCCACAGCAGCTTTGAAAGCGTCCTCGACTCCTCAGCTTGGCAGGCAAGAGGCCCCAAACCCTAAAGCTCGAAGCTAAACCCTAAACACCTAACCCCGAACTCCAAGCTCCAAAACCCTAAACCTCTAGCCCTAAACGCCAAAGCAAGGAGCATGATGGAGAAGCTTCTGCAGCGACCTCAAAACCCAGACTCTCGTGGCTACCACGGCAAGCTGACGCCTTTGTGCGAAGCGGCCTTCGCCGGCCACATTGAGGCCGTAAAGAGCTTGGGGGGGGTTTTACGTATTAAGGCCCCTATATTATAGTACCCGTATAGATCCCTTATAGACCCCCTTTTAAGGAACGTTTGAGATCGGGCCCTCAGTTGCTACCGAGACCACGTTGAGGCGCCTGCCTCTGCTTGGGGCAGGGAAAGCCTGCATTCTTTTAACTCCCTCTCTCTCTCTCTCTCTGCCTTTCTCATGTTATCTTTCTCTGTCTATCTATCTAACTATTCTGTCTGCCTGTCTGACTGTCCATCTAGCTATCTGTCTGTCTGTCCGCCTGTCTGTCCTTGTAAATGATATATAGATATGAAGTAATTGTATTATAGCTATAGATGTGATTGCTAAAGACACTGTTGCTGACCTTCTGTTTTTTATCATCCTGTGTATGATGCCGGCAAGCAAGCAATGAGCAACCCCTGAACCCTCAACCACCTTAGAGAACCTTTACAGTAAAATGTAACCTTTTTCTAAACCCCCGAAAAAGGTAAACGCCGTTATTCCGCTTCTGTAAAACCTAAGAGAACCACCAGCACCTAGAACCTTATGGTAGCCTTTACAACCTTCAAGAACAACCCTAATATAGGGGCCTAAGCAATTACCAATACTATTTTTGGGGGGTTCCTTACTATAATCCTACTATAATGGGCCCCAAAACCTTTGTTCTACTAATAAAGGCCCTCTCAGAAAAATACCTTTATAGACCACTTAGAGTAACTAACCCTTATAGACCCCTTTAAAAGGAACCTGAGTCTGACTATGAAGGCCCCGAGCCTGAGCCCCAAAACCCTTGTTCTACTGATTAAGGCCCCTATATTATATCCTTATAATAGCCCTTATAGTCCTTATAGTAGCCCTTATAGTAACCCTTATAGACCCCTTTAAAGGAACCCTAGTCTGATTATGAAGGCCCCGAGCCCGAGCCGCACAACATAACTTCCTTCTAGGCGGTGCAGTTGCTCCTGGAAGCCTCGGCAGACAAGGAGACAAAGCTGAGCGCTGTTTGGAGGGGGTTACGGTTTAGTGGTTTAGTGGTTCAGGGTTCAGGGTTTAGGGTTCAGGGTTTAGGGTTTAGGGTTCAGGGCAAGGGGTAAGGGGTTTGAAAGGTGTTTCGTTTGATGTACGAGGGTTTGTAGGTTATGCCCGTATTGGGTTTTTAGGGCTGCTGTAAAGGGTCGACAGGGGAGTTTCGGGCCTTCGGCAGGCCGTGGCCAACCGTAGGACGATGGTATCGATTATAGGAGTACCTAGACCCCGAACCCTGAACTTCACTTCACTTCACTGCTGATCGGTCCAAGGTCCGGAGCAAACTAAAGACATGCACGCCCAAAAGTGGGAACCGCTATGGAACCGCACAGGCAAGGAGACAAACAGGCAAAAGAGCACAGGGGCGAGAAGCGCCTCAGGCGCGACCCAGCGACTCTGTGCTGAAAATGAAGGAAGCTCGCAGAGGACGGACAAAAGGGGAACGGCCCGCAGGCGAGGGAGAGCAAAGGGCAAGAAGGTCAGGCCACCACGAGGAAGGGCAGTCGGGATGCTGTGCAGCAAAGATCACACCGAAGGGCAGATGCGCAGAGCGGAAAAGCGCGCGGGGCAACAACCTCCGGAGGAGCGAGAGCCCAGCAGAGCTCGGCACACCCCAGAGCCAGAGAGCACCTCCAGCGCAGACGCGGGCGCAGACCTGACGGAGAGTAACCGTGGCGGCCAACAGGCACTGTAAGGCAACCGGAGGCTCCTTGGAAGCGGCAGCAGGGTCAGAGACACTGCTGCGCAGGACAAGGAAAGCTGACGTGGCGGCGGCGTCCCAAGGGTGAAAGAGATCGGTAGCATGCCAACATTTCCAATAGCGGTGCCACGCAAGAGGAAGCTGCCAAATGACCGGAGCAAGACTCCATGCAGACCACAACGGAGAGGGCAGGTGCCATGCCTCAGCTGGTTCAGAGTAGTCAAAGATGCACCGCCATTGACGGACGGGTGCCTCAACCGAAATAGAGACGCTAGGCGCATCCGCCTCATGTCCGGGGCAGGGAGCGGAAGCAGCAGCGGTGCCAACGGGCTCTGCGGCGCCAACATCAAGGGGGAAAAGCCTGGGGTGCGGGTCGGCTGGTGCAGCGGCAGCGATGCGCGCAGCCCCATCAATAGCCTGCGGGGCCGGCCAGTCATAAGGGCCAAGCGCCCTGGTGGCAGTGAAGAGCTCTTGGGCAAGCTCTCCCTCGGTGCAAGGGCGTCCTGCCTCAGAAGCGGCACGCTGGGCAGGCGTAGCATTGAGAGGTCCTGGGAGCCTGATTGCAGGGACTCCCCGATGAGTCCTAGGCCCGCCCCGTCGAGACCCGGTACCGTATTCATATACCTCACCGACAGTGACCCGAAGCCCGTGAACACACCCCGGCGTGGTCCGGAGATGGTATTTAAGCCGATCAGATGATTGCATCTCTGTATGGCACCACAGGCAAGCTGTGCCATGGGTGTATCGCGTCAGCCAATTGACAACAGAGTGCTTGCGGTGAACGTGTGCCGCTAGTGCGTGTGCACTAGGCAGAACAGCGTTGCAGATGCCACAGGGATGGGGGGTTGCGCACCCGAGGACTCGTTTCTGCCTGGGTCCGGACAGTGCTTGCCACAGGTCCCAGAAAGCCCACTGGAGGGTGCCCCATTTGCTGAGAAACCGGCAGGCCTTCAGCATCCCTCGCTGGTTGGCACGCACGAAGGCCAAGGCTGAAGGGACATGTTGACGCTGGGCGTTCACAACTCCACGGGCAACTGACTTGCAAGCGTCTGCGAGCAAAGCACACCAGGGGACAGCACGGTTCCATGCCGCGTCAAAGAGATCCCAAACCTCGGTAGGTGCCCGACCGACAAGCTGGACGACAAGGCGGGTGCGAGCAACGACAACAGCGTGCTCAGGGGCCGTCAGTCCAAGGAGGCAAAGGAGCACGGACCGGTGTAGGCGGTGGCCGAAGCGCCAGGAGCCACACACGACTCGGGCGATCCGATCGAACAGGCCGTGCAAGGGCGCGGTGGCCCTTTCGGACACCGCGACTGATGTAGCAAGGGTTGCGTACGCAGCGGGCAGGATTCTGCCGGCAACCCACGCTTGCCGAAGCGCCCAAGGTAACGCATCGCTGTTAATCAGATTGCGGCCATGGGCCCATGCGGTGCGTCCTCGTTGAGCACAAAGCTCAGAATCTCTGCGGCCATTATCCTTGGGGTGTTGAACCACCCCGAGATACCTGTATTCAGGAGTCAGTCGTAGCTCGGCGCCGTTAGGCAGGGTTAGCGGTCGGGACGACCCAAGCATTTCACCTCGTACTGCCTTGGCGTCGCTGCCTCTGATGTCAAGGAGAGCCTCGGTTTTTCCTTCCCCAAGGTTAACAGAAAAGTGCAGGGCGTGTAGGGTGTCTATGACAATTTCGGCAACACGGGGAAAAAGCTGTTGCAAGTCCCGGGGACTAGCGTAATCCGTGATAACCGCGAGGTCGTCAGCCCACCCTATCTGGAGCGGAGTGGGGGATGATCCGGAAGCGAAACAAGCAGCCTGGCAAGTCAGACCCTCCTTGGCACACACAGTTTCAATGTGGCGCAACGCGGTAGCGAAGAGGGCGCCGAAGAGGATATCGGCGAGTCCGTCACCGGGTCTTGAGCCCCGCGTTGCAAGAAAAAGGCGGTCGGACCCTACCAGGTGCCAGTGGGCACATGCGACGCAGTCCTTGAGAAGTGCAATCTCTTCAGCAGGAACACCGAGAAGCTGAAGGGCGCCTGCCCGTGCCAATTGATCGACAAGAGCGCTCAAATGATATAGCCGCTGTTCGCTGGGCTCCAGAGACAAAGGGCCGCCATCAAAGATGAGGTCCCTGCTCGCCTCGTAATACGCGGCTTTGATATCAACAAAGAGGACCGCAACACTCCGCTGTGCTTCGACACAGAGTGACCACGCTCCACGGAAAGCAGCGACAGCGAAGTGGACAGGCATGCCTGGGCGGCCTCCGAGTTGGAGTCCTTGGTATCGGCGAAGGATCGAGTGCCCAAGACCTTTCCTGAGGTATCCATGGTATACCTTGGCCATGCCGTTCATCAGTGCGATGGACCTGTAGTTTTGTGGCAGGGCAGCTGGGCCCTTCTTATACAGGGCACATATGAGAGCGAGCTTAAACTGTGGTGGCTCACGGCCCGTCAGTGCAATGCCAGTGCAGACACGCCAGAACCAGAGGCCCGCGGA